ATATAGATATATATAGATATATAGATAGATATATAGATATATAGATAGATATATAGATATATAGATATAGATATATATATAGATATATATATAGATATATATATAGATATATATATATATATATATCTATATAATATAGATAAATGAAAGCTGAGTAGGCGCTAGAGGGTGAAAGCTGTTATGCTGCGTTCACACCAAAGGCGTCGCAAATTCATCGCGCCGTGTATTCGTGTCATTCGCGCAGCCGGTCAAAATGCCGGGGACCATTTGCGTTCATTCGCGTGAATCGTGGTGGACGCGCTGGAGAGGGGGCGTGGCTTATCGCCCTGAAAGCCGTTCAACTGTCCGCCATTAACCGTGGAAAAAATAACGTATTCCTCTTTAGTACGTGTTGGAAGTCACAGATATCCCGGGAAACTAAACGCCGTCATGTCTGGGTTCATAATATTGTTCAGAGGAGCTCCGTGGATTTTATCGAAGTGTATTCACTGTGTCTAGCAAGCCACACGTCGCTGTTTACTACAACTGTATGAACACAAAATAAACTGATTTGGCTGTGATTTAACGGCAATAAACCGACAAAAAGGGACTCCGAAATAACTACGTAATGATGCCGATTTGTAGGTAACCTGTCTTCTCAAAGGAGCTGTGATGGATCGGTGCTAGGCTAAGCTAACATTGTAGCAGCTCCACCAACACTCAGAATAACGTCATCTAGATGTAAATACGGCAGCGTCTATTCATTGTTTGTACCATATGGTTTACACACACACATTTATACAGATAGTTTGGTCCGGTCTCTATTGATACGAGGTATCGTGGAGCTCTGGGTGAACACAGACGGCTACAGTATTTATTTCCTGATTCAACAACGGCAGGAAGTCACTGATGACAGGGGGAGCAACTCAACGCTGATAGGCTATCACGCCGGGGCGTAACGCGAATATTTCGCAGAAGTTGAAAAATTTCAACTCGCGCGCTTGGGGCGATTTGGCGTTTGACGCGAATTTGCGTCAATCGTGCCGCAAATTCGCGTCAATCGCGCCATCGCAAATACACGCCGCGCCAATCTCATTGCGTCTGTCCATAGACTTTGTATGTAATCTACTCTCGCAAATAATTTGCGACGCTTTTGGTGTGAACGCAGCATTAGTGTCGGACTAAGAGTGAGAGGCTGTGGATATTTGCTGGAAGAAGTATGAGGCTATGCAGACTTGGTAGATAACTAATAAAATATTCCCAGTAGAAAATACTTTTTAATCACATTCTTGACAGCATTGATTTGATAAAGACCAGTGGTATTTTGTGAACACACTGAGTGAGAAATGGATCGACAGCAACACTACATGAAAAGTCGCATTGACTAATAAAAACCCTCTTTTGTCCCTCCACAGAATCACAAACCTCCAGAGTGCTGCGAAGCAACCTCCGCTGATTCAGCCTCCACAGCGCAGCACAGCACCACAAGAAGCTGTGCAGATGCGTGTAAAGAGCTCCCAGAGCTCCGGAGAACGCCTCAGTCAGTCTAAGTCCATGGTGCTGCAGGAGTCCGACCTACCTAAAAAGCCTGTAAGTAGACCACATAGAACCTCCATCCTACAGTGGTGCAGTTCAGTTTTTAACTTCTTTTTTTCTGTTTGTAGATCTCTCGGCATCGCAGGAATCAGTCTCAGCACAACGTCTTAGTTGCAGGAGGAGGACTTGCTGTTTTTGAACCATTGGTATGTCCTAAAAAGGATTTGTATGGCAGAGGTTAGGGGCCATGTGAAAAATGAATTTGAGTTCTGATCTTTAAGTGAATAAAGTCAGAATTCTGAAATGAAAGTTACTAATCTGACTTTAATCTCAGAGCTCAGACTTTAAACTCAGATAATAGATTTTTCACATGTAGCCCTCATCCTTTAACGTAGATTTGTATCAAACCCATTTCAGACATTAGTTCTACGTGTTTTCAATAGAAATAAACTCTTATTTCAGAAGTTTTTCAGAATGAAGATGAGAATTGATTTAAGAACATTTGGATGCATATTTTAAATTCATTTAAAAACTGTTCTCACTCCCAGAAGCGTGGAATACCGCAGCTTGGTCGGTGCTCTTCGTATAGTATATTTTCACAGCACAGTAATTAACTTGGAATCACACAAATCCTGCAAACAGATGCACTGTCCCATCACAGATTAAATATAAACCCTCCCTCCTTCTACTTCACCCAAATCCTCTGGCACATCTGTTCTGTATTTAATTAGTTTTTGGTTTCTGAATTAAGTGAACATCTGAATAATTAAAAACACCCCATGGCATCACTATTTTTTATTTATGTTCAAATAATATGCGCGTGTTGGTGTGTGTTCAGGTGGAGCTGAAAGGTGAACATCTGAATGTGGCGAAAATCTCAGAGAGCGGTAAGAAGCAAAGGAAGAACTGGACCTTCATGTGGAGCGTACTGACCTCAGACCAGCTGCTGTTTTATAAAGAGAGACCACAAGAAACTAGTCTGGTATGAAAATACTGCTTTATTTTGTCTTTAACTTTACTTTGTCTCTGTTTTACGAACTGAAACAACACAAGGCAGGACCAAAGTACTCATTCTGCTTTGTGTCACTACTTGTTCCACACTGAGCATGACAAAATAAGAAAAGTAGAGAATTGTCTAAGGAGGTCTAACAGAAGATCGTAGCTAAGCATGGATGATCTCAAAGCTACCTTAAAGTCCATCTCCAGAGACCTCGATGTTCCTTTGTACACCGTGCACAATGTCATCAAGAAGGTTAAGGCCCATGGTACTGCAGCCAACCTTGCGAGAGAAAAGTTGACCAAAGATTGCAGTCAAGGGTTGTACGAATAGTGAAAGGACCTGGGACAACTGAAAAACAGATTAAAGCTGACATTCAGACAGAAGGAACCATCTTCTAAACTCACACTATCCGTCACCAACTCAATGAAAGGAGGTTCTGTGGCAGGACACCAAGGATGCCACCACAGCTGAGGGAGATAAGAAAGCACAGCGGGAGTTTGTCCCAACACAACTACAAGCCAATATCTTCCTGGGAGAATGTTCAGTCAACAGATGAGAAAAACAATGTTGTTTTTTGGTACACTGCATAAACTCTGTTTACAGAAAAAAAGAACCTAGAGTCAAATGTGGAGAAGGCTCACTGATTTTGGGGTTCCCTTGAATATGTGCATGGAATCATGAAATCTGGAGATTACCAAAGTATTTTGGAGTGCAAGGTTATACTCGGTGTCACAAAGCTGTGTCTCCTTCAAAAGTCATTGTTCCTCCAGCAGGACAGTGTCCCAAAAATGACATCTAACAGCACCCAGGATTGGTTGAAAGGTAAACTCTGGACTGCCAGCAATGAGTCTGAATCCAATTGAACACGTGGAAAGATCTGAAAACAGCAGCCTTCAAATCTGTGATAACTAGAGCAGTTTGCAAAAGAGTGGGCCAAACCACACGTAGACTGGTGTAGGAATCTCATTGAAGTCTATAGGAAGCACTTGACAGCAATTATCATATATTTTGACGGGTGACCTCACCATCCTCTCTGTGTTCAGAAACCAGGAAGTAAGACAGATGTGGTTCAGCTGAGTGGAGCTCTTATTGAGTGGACGACAGAGAAGTCGAGCAGGAAAAACGTTTTTCAGGTAACAAACCAACACAAACCTGTCACACGGTAACACTTGACATTGTCATGCACATGTTTCTGCGCTGAAGCTGCTTTTTGTGGATGAGTCCTATTTCTCTCCATGACAGCCACATGCTGGACTCACAGAAACATGATTTCTTATATTTGAACTATAGAAAAAAACCAGTTTGACTTTCTTCTTTATTTGTATCTCAATAAACCACAATGGCCTTTGATTAAACCTTTTATACACACACACACACACACACGTATATATATATATACATACACGTATATATATATATATACATACACGTATATACATATATACATACACGTATACACATATACGTATACACATATACGTATACAC